TTTGTGTAAGATTGTGATGGGCTTTATACAAAATTTTGGCTTTTGAAAAGTCTTCTTTGTTGTTATCAGGCATGTGAGCATGAGAACCCTCTCTCTGTGGCCTTCCTACATGCCAGGGTTTTCTTAACATTAGTGATTCCATTTTGATTCTGACAACTTTCACACCTTCATAATCCAAATGAACAGATGCCTTCAACTGGTATCATTCATAGATCTAGGCCTATGGGACCCCTTCCTTGAGTCCTGTGGCACAGATCCTTAGGGAGCCCCGCATTTTTCAACTCTCTTTGAAAAATTTTAAAACTCTTCTGATGTGTAAGAAAGGCCTGGACTAGCAGTGCCATCTGGGCAAAGCACACCCAGCCAAGACTTGGACCTGGGGTCCAAAGTCTATAAGTGTCAAAATTTTCTTGGTTCCTATTCAAACCCTGAATGCAGCAAGGAAGAAGTGTTATTTGGGCATGTCGCAATCCAACCAAACCACATCGGCCCAGTTCCCTGTTTCTCTCCTTCAGGTTTTTCTCTGACACTCTACCCCACACCTGCACTCAACCAGATGCCCCAGGGAACCTAGTAACTTGCATGTATGCAATCATCCTGACCCAGTAGCCTGACCTTGGTTGCAAGAATTTGGTTGGCAAGTGGTCACTCACTCCCATTGGCCAAAGTAATACTGTGTGAGATTGGATCACCAGATTGTTGGTCCTCTGATTTGGGTTGACCTACACTATTTATGGAGAGAGGGGACTGGTAGGAAAAAAAAGTATTTGATTGGACCCCTCACACATTAGAAGTTACCCTGCCTTCAACACTTCCAAGTCCTCAAAAACTTCACAAACATAAGTGTGCTTGAGTGATAATCAAGAAACTTCAACTGAGGGCAACAACACCAGACTGCACATGCACAACCACTAGTCAGACACTGACAAGAAGATAAACAATATACACTGAGTCACAGAATTCAAGCCTTCCAAACTCAAATGCCTCAAGCCATGAGACGGATGGAGTTAATTATGCTTTTTCCACATGGTTTCCTAATGGACTTCCTGAAGAATGAGTAACCCCTAACTTCCATAGGCCAGTATTTCTCATCTGGGGCATTTTTGTCATATATACAGGACTCCCTATATATTGAAGAATATTTAGAATATTTGTCCCCTACCCAATATATACCAGTTGCTCCTGGAGAAGGTAAACTGAGGCAAGGTGGCCCGGTGCCGGTGGAATAATGCAAACAATTGCAAAACAGAAAGAAGCAAAGTTTGTTATCCACTCTCCATAGACAGAAAGGGACGAGCACTCAATAGGCGAGTATGGCCACGAAGGCTGAGAGACTGGGTACATTTAAGGCTCTCTTTTTGGGCTAAAAAGCAAGTCCGAAGGTTATATTCTTTGATATCAGAAGTCACATAAGTCTTGTTTCTAGACATCCCCAGGTACCAGTATCTCATGACTACAAGTGGTGGGCCAGAGGCTGGGCTGGAAGTTGGTTAACATCATTGCTGGAAATATAGATGCCTCGAAAAACAATTAGGACTAGACATGCTTATGAGGCTAGAAATAATTACCAATAATTACTCTGGGAGGCCAGTTTTACTTCTTGCCAATGATTAAAAGGTAAAAAGAATAGGCTGGTCATCAGAAGGCTCAGCAGTACATGACAGGTCTAGGGCTGAGATAAAATGGCTACACTACTGCTAGAATTATTTTACCAAGTTCTTCTAAGATTCTTGGGGTTCCTACCTTTCACTCCTAATAGTCATACTAGAAAAATGCATCCTCCCTCAACATACACAGATACTTACATTCCCTCTGGGGATTGGTACAACCTCAGTTAGAACCATTGGCATATGGTGCTGTCCAACATTCATATAATGCAAAGCACAGCTGTAAGCCATCTACGTAATTTTAGATTTGTTAGTTGCCACATTAAGAAAAGTAAAAAGGGATAGGTGAGATTAATTTAATTGCATTTTATTTAACCCTATTTAGAAATAATATTGTCACTTCAACACATGATCAGTGCAAAATTATCAATAATGTATCTTTTTCTGTACTAAGTTTTCAAAATCTGGTGTGTATTTCACACCTACAGTACATAATTTGGACTAGCCACATTTCATGTGCTTAATAGTCATAAGTAGCAAGTAAATAAAATATTAGTATAGATAAATATGTATTCCTAAAGTCCACACAACCATATGAGCCCACTGGAGCCTGTATAGGAATGAGACAGACTCTCACTAGATTTAGAAAATCATCTATAGAGTAAAAGGTAGAGTTTATAAGCTGCTTTGACTGAGGTCACTCTATCAGGTAATTGGTCAGGTATGTGGAAAGATGAACCTGAGATTAATAAGGCAGTTGGATTCATTCTATGAAGAAATGTCCTCACTCAAAAATATTTTAATTGACTGAAAAATGCACTTGCTGTAACTTTTGCCTCTGGCTAAGGGAACTGTCCTATATGTAATGCTTAAAAATAATTGCACCGCCGGGCTCGGTGGCTCAGCCTGTAATCCTGTGCCTTTGGGAGACTGAGGTGAGTGGATTGCCTGAGCCCGTAGGTTCGAGACCCACCTGGGCAGCGAGACCTCATCTCTACAGTAAATCAAAACAATCAGCCGGGCGTGGTAGTGCATGCCTGTAATTCCGGCTACTCGGAAGGCTGAGGTGGAAGGATCACCGGAGCCCAGCAGGTCGAGGCTGCGGTGTCCGGGAGCAGCCACTGCACTCCAGTCTGGGCGACAGAGTGAGACTCCAACTCAAAAAAAAAAATAATAATAATAATAATAATAATTGCACCTACTATGGCCTTAAGTGTCATTTGCTATTTGGCATTTTCAAACAGTATGTGGTTCCAATTATTAAAAATTTTATTTAAAATATCAGATTTCTAAAGTACTTAGAATATTTATAAGCTTATCATGCTTTACATTTTTATAATTTTGTTTGTGAAAAAATGCAAATATCTAGTTTTAATTCACAAAATACTTCTAGGGTTTTCTTTGTTTTAATTTCAAGCTTTTATTATTTAAAAATATTATTTTTTCTATTAAAATGTTGGGCTCGTGAAAAAATTTAAACCATAATTTAAATGTTCTTTTTTATTGTTCAGAAGAGTAAAAACCCTGATTCATTCAAACACTTGGTGGTTGAAAATGTTTCATTGTTCATTGAATAGGTCTGCCTCACCAATCTCTCTCTCCCTATATAGACTGTTCAAGAATGTTATAACTTTTAAGTGAGTCATTCATTCCCACTTGCATTTCAAGAGAACATTTTTATTATTATTTGCAGACTATGAATAATAATTTGTAGATATATAATAGTGCAAATATACAGATGAGAGAAATAAAATGAAAATATCTATTCGCCGTACATAAAAAATTCCACATTTAAAAAATGTCCCCAAGAGTACTTTAGTTAGTCAGTGAATACCTTTCCTAATGATACCAACAAATAAAGTCTTTCATATTTAAAAAGTACCTGTATTAATTAAACATGTGCATTATGAATAAAATATATTTTGGTTCTCAAACTCCACATCTCTCAATTCGATCTAGACAGCAATAAATGTGTTTTCAGTTAAAGGGTACTATCTTATAATTACCCATTTCAGTAACAGGGTTATCAGCTTATGAGATTATTTTTTTATAGCAATGCTACATAGTGAAGAGTATCTGGTATCATAAATTATTTGCTAAGGTAAATTATGAAAAGCAGTAACATAAAAATTTGCCTCTGGTGCTTTGGTAAGATATTTTATTCTGCTAAAGAGAAACTATACTATGGTCAGGTCTGCAAATGTTCAGTAAGGAAATGGCCACTAAAGTGATAGAAGAGTCAAAGTTGTTTTCAATAGCTTTATTTACATATATACATATATATGATGAAGTATTTTGTGTAGTTTTTGCAAAAGTTTGTATTAGCTTAAATCTTTCTACCTAATCGCTTAACAAGAGTTTAAATTTATTTTATTTATTATATTTAAATATATATGCCTTAATATAGTTAAAAATAGTGAGCATTTTTCATTTAACTTGACATCATGTTTTTCACATATAATCAATATTAAAGAGAAAGCAGAACACGTGATTAAGTTCTTATTTTTCAATTACAATAGGTAATTTATGAATTAATTACATGTCTGAGGATCCTGAATGAAAAATTTGCATTGTGAAATATATGTGACCTACATTAAACTTTCCTTTCTATTTTTTATTCCAAGGTTGTATGAAGTACCCTATATGACAAATTCAAAGCTAATAATACTGACACTAAACTAAATAATCTGTGACCTGTTGACTAAAAACTATTTTGGTCAGGGTCTTTTGAAGAAAGACTTAGACTATTTTTAGGAATCATTATAAAGTTTAAACAACAACAAAAACAAGAACCTGCCCCAAACCCATCAAGTTCTGGAGTGAGATTTGAAGTGAAGAATATAGGAGTCATCCGGTTGAACACACGTGGGTTCAGGAGAGGGTGTGAAGAGCTTTCAGTCAGCAGATCACTCTCTCTTTTCTCTCAGCTTGGAATAGAAAACATACACCTGAGTTTCTACTCAATGGGCTATCATTTATCCCATTATATATGAGATATTGCAAATGTTTTAAATGTAGAAAAAATCAACAAATCTCACACACTACACAGATATTTGCTCTTAACTTTCCATAAGCAAAATAAATAAATAGACCTCAAGACTTGACGACTGAATATTAGAGTATTTGCCAGCATACAAGCCACATTTATTAGGATGCTGTTAGGTGCAACTTGAATAATATTTCGATGGCACTTTGTTGTTATTTTGCTTTGTTTTTTATATTTTCCCAGTGTATGCTCATGGATGTACCTATGCCATTGTATGCCTGTTGGGTCAGAAATATAAGGACAATAAAAATGTGATGCTAAAGAGTTGCTCAAATAAACTTTTCAGAGCCTAATATCAGAACGGAAGTAACCTCTGCGACATAATCTGAACAGTTACTTCTTCACAGGGGGTTTCATGGAGACAGAAGCTGCTGCTCAGGAGTCCTTGGGCTTAGGCAAACTGGGAACGCAAGCTGAAAAAGACAGAAGACTGAAAAAAAAGTAGGTTTGGGCTATTTTCCCTCCTCTTCTAACCTTTGTTTATTCTTTTTAAAAAATATTTCTAAAAGTACTGAGTTTATTTTAAAGTATCATATCAATAAGCAAAGCCATCTCTTCATTGTATATTGATTTTGGCAGAGTATAGACTTGCATACAATGGATACCATAAAGTGGTTTACAGTAAAAGGTGATTGTTTTTAATAATAAAGTAGTATGCAATGACAGATCTGTGTAAGTGATTTAGGCCATGTTTCTTGTCTTTCTAGATGTCTTCAGAATGAATATTTTAAGAGCAGTAGATGCATTCAGTTGTCAAGGTCCTTGTTTAACCACACAGCTTTGAATCATGTTTCTAACTTGTTTGCCTCAGTGAAATAAAAATGTGTATATCATGGAAATGGGATGGCATCCTCTTGCAAAAAACTCAGACTTTTAATTAACTATGGTAAAATAGATTGATAGTCATTGTCCAAGATTAGCTTTCCTTGGGATTTTGCTAAAATAAATACTTGTGGTTCTCCTTCTTTAAAAGAACTTGTGATCATGTTTATTCTTTATCATTGTTGTAGAGAATTAAAAAGAGAGCAGTTGGGAACAAAATGACTATACTGAGGCCAGTGTTTTTCAGGCATTGCCTAAAACAGCTCAGGACTCATGTCTCCCAGTTATAATGAGGTATAGTTTGAAATAATGTAAAAAATCTTTGCCCCAGGATAGAAATAAAAAGTTTCTTCTAAGTGATCAAGGCATTTGTTTCAAAACTCAGTTATATTTAAAAGATTTAAATGTGGGCTTAAAAATAACAGAATACCCTATCTGATGTTAAAGTCAGTGCTGAACTGATATGATAAAATGAGAGAATATGTCATCTAAATTTGTGTTTCCTCTCATGATATTTATAAGTATCTACTTTTTAAAATGGATGAAAGAGAAACATTTCTCTGATTGAATATAATCTTATTTTAGGCTCATAACAGATTGTTTTGCATCTGTCAGGAAACTGATAGTATGTCTTTTCATTCATATGTAACATGGAACATTTAAATGACTTACAAAATTGGCAAATTTTGAGTCTCAGCAGCTGTTGGAAAGCAAGTAGGTATAAATAACACATCTTTAAAACACATAGTAACATTTTCATTGACAAAATGGTACCTTTAGGACATGTTCTTTAAAAGCGAAACAGTTTCTCTTTATTCCAGCATCCATGGGTTAATTATTCCTTTTCCTCCCTCTTAAATATTTATTGCATTTCATTTATGGTTTTTACATTTCCCTTCTTTCTTATGAAAGAACATTCACTCCTCTGGTTTTCATTTTGTAACAGAAATGATCAGATGGTTATAGTATACAGGCTAATCAGTTTACTTCATATTTTGTCTTCTTACATATTTTGCAGATGTTTACTTAAAATGGGGAATTATATACTTACAAGTTGCAAAATAGTTCACTAACCTAACTGTTCATTAGTTTGCTACTTATTAAAAATAGATATAGAGCCAAATTTAGCAGAAATACTGTCCCGAGTAAAAATGATTTGAGAATATATTTTTTGAATACAATTAAACGTTTAGTCATGTTAAATAACTCATATTTCTTTTTTTAGCTATTGAGCATTAAACACTAAATATTATCATAAGCTGTTTCAAATACCTTCATTTTGTTTATTCCTTTTAAGGATTGTTCTATTCAATTTTGTGGCTATTTATTAAATGAACATTCTTCTAAAAAATATTCTCCTTGATAAATTGTTAAAAGTTTGGTTAACTTTCTTCAAGTCTGAGTAATCAAAACCTAGCCTGGATAAAGACATAGTTTATTTTCCTTGAGTTAATTCTCAAGACTAGCCTGGACAAGAATAGATCCAATATCTACTAAAAATTAAAATAAATTAGCCAGGTGTGGTGGTATGGTCCTGTAGTACTGACTATTTGGGAGGCTGAGGTGGGAGGATTAATTAAGCCCAGGAGTCTGAGGTTACAGTGAGCTGTGATCCTACCACTGCACTCCAACTTGAGACTCCATCTCCAAAAAATAAAAATAAAAAAGTTATCTCATTTCTCTCACAAAAAAATCCATATAAATAATGGCTAACAAACCAGCTTTCACAATTGCTTATATGGTTGATAATGAGGCATTATACCACGTAGTTCATTAGTTGCTTAAGGGACCAAGTTAAATATCTTTTTAAACAGCTGCTGAAGTTAATCATTTCAATTACACAATGATTTAAAATAACATATTTAAAGTTGGATTGATTTGATATTAATTTTATAGAATTATTTTTCAACTCTGAAGTACCCTCACAGTAAAATTGATTTTTGTTCTGTACTTAAACTACCTTACCATGGTTGACTTTGCGTTTTATTTTGCAATATGTTTTGACAAAATGTAATGATAAACTGTATTATATAGAATAAGCATTTAAGTATATTCCTTAAATATTATGAAGACTATTAAGACCATTCTATAATATAATAATGGCTAACATTTCGTAATACACCACCACAACCAGCATTAGCAAGAACTCTAGGAGCATAAATATGCAACCAGTGTTCGTGAGACTTCTATGATAATTGCTAACACTTATTCCAGACTTGCATGGCACTGTGCCTTGGTGTCTGGGTTGCCAGTGAGTAAAGTATCTTTGTGTAATGAATTCTGTTAGATAGACAAGATAAATTACTTTTAAATTACATGGTTTCAAAGTTAGTGTCTATTAAATTTTGCTATCACTATTTATTATTAAATATTGGCAGCTTGTTCTTGAATTTTCTTAAGGGTTTAAATTTTCATTTAAATAATTATAATTTTCTTTGTTTAAAAAAGATGCCTTGTCTTCTCTTAGTGCACTTTGAAGTATTACATTCTTTACTATGTTTAAATTTCATGTTTACCAGTTTTATTTCAAGATTGAAAAGTTTTTAAGCACTTTTCTTAAAAAAAATTAAAAAAACAATAGCTGGAGAAACCTCTTCTAAAATTTTGAACACTACAGCATGTACCTGCACAGTTGCAATTACTGTGGCTTCCTATCAGTTGTTTCTACATTCTATCCATTGGCCGCGCAAAATGACATTTCCAGGACTTAGTACTTAACTTAAACCTATCTTCAATATCCCAAAGTTCATAGCAGAGATTCATTAGTCTCTGAGGGAATAATAAGAGCCCCCAAAAAGTCTTATTTTCAACTTTGCTAGGATAGCAGCTACTTAGAATTGACAGTCTGCAACTTTAAATTTAATTGGGAGAAATCGTTAGAGAAGTTAATTATGGTACATTTTTAAAAAGCCATATGGGGGAGAAACTTTGAGAGAGCAGCATTTGAGACATTCCAAATTCTTGCAAAGTTCAGAAATTTGTAATGTTGGCAGTTCCAAACAAAGGTCTAATTTGAGTTACATTTACCATCCAGAAAATGTAATGCACGTAGGTTAGAACAACTTACAAGATTCATGCTCCTATTTTAATTCCATTTTTCTTTGCTTTCTGATCCAGGCACTGGTTTTGCTTATGGTTCTAGCTATTGTCTCATCATGAGAAATAGGAAGTCAACAATATTGTATCTGCTAAACCACCCACTAGTCAAGAAAATCTTGTCCCTCTTTACCTTTCTGGGCACTATCAAACAGGTGCTGTTCTTGCATCAGAATGTCTAACCTATGCCCAAAGTCAATCCATTATCATTCTGCCTCATTTGCCTTCACTATGCCTTATCTTTGCTGTGTTTTCCTTCAAGCATCAATTTCATAAATTTCTCCAGCAGGTTTATATGTTGTACAATTAACACCTACAATAATTGTGTCACATTGAAACTCACCTAGTAATTCTTTGGATATTTCAAATGAATTTTCTTGGTCTTCTTTAAAATTTGACTTGTTTTGTTTTGTTTTCTGTAGCCTCCTGGTATAACTTTTTTGATCTTTAACGAGTGAATCACTTTCAATATTTAATCTTCGTATTAATATTGCAATTTTTAATATTTTTCTCAATGGGAGTTTCCTCTGGGAAGCCCTAACTCTCTGAAATCTTATCCATCATCCTCTGGTTTGATTTCTTTGGACTCCAATGCACATTTTCCTATTTAATAAAAATAAATATCTTCCTCTTTTCTAATACGGATGTTAAGAGCAACTAGATCTGAGAACGTCACTGTTTTATACCTGTCACCTTTATCTCTAATAACTTATTTCTCCTCCTTAGCTCTCCAGTCTATGTTTTAAGCCAAGCCCTAAAAGCTACTTGCTCAAGATGGCCAATGACAACCAGCCACACAAACATTTTAAAAACTGTGTGGAAAAATATGTTAGTGAAAAAACAAAAATCGACATGGGCTGGCCCTTCAAAATCTTTTGTTTCTGAATGAGATTCAATTCATCAAATCTTATTTAGAGTATAGATTTGGGTGGTTTAGGGCTCAATAAATACAAATTCTCTTTCTTGCCTATGTTTATAATGTATCTGTTGACAGATAAATAACCCAGACAATTAGAAATCAAAATGTTAGCCTTATTTACAATAAATTCAGTAGGCTTAAGTAAATGTATAAAAACAAAAATAAACAAACAACCCCCCCCCCAGAATCCCCAAATAATTAAATTTACTTAATTTCTAAAAAAAGCTGGGTAACTGCAGGTTTTCAAAGTGCACAAATGTAAGTCTCATATGACCTTAAAAATAGCATAATGCAATATTATAATTTGATAAATGTTACATAAAATCAAGAATTATGAACTCACAAGGAGAAAGTAAGACTGTACGTCGTCAGCATTCTCACCTGAAGAAGAGTTTTTGAATCATCAGGGTTCATTGTGTTTTTGTTAATACCTCATCAGATTTCTTACTTTTTTCTCTGAAATATATATAGCTGCCACCTTCAAAAATCACCATCTCTATAAATGTGATGAGAGAGTATGAAAAACTCCTTGACTCATTAGAAATCTGAAAATCTATTTTACACCTAAAATTAGTCGATAATTGACCAAAGCATAGAACTATTG